TTCCCTACCTTGCCCCAAGCATTTATCTCCTCTTAGCAGCTGGGAGCAACATTTTAAAAAGGTACTGAAACATGTGAGATGGACACATTGGGACCAAAGCAGTACATCAGCAGCCACCAATTTAGAGACTCAATGAACCTCTTTCTGCTCAGTGAGCTTTCATTCATCAGAGCCTTGCTTTCCTTATATATATATCTGTTTGAACACCTGTGCAACTTGCATGCAGCCAAGGGCTGCAAGTGTCCATGGACAGCAGCAGTAATGGAACAAAACTGTCTGTGTTCAACAGCTGATGCTCCTGTTAATGGCCATAGTTTAAACTAGCAAAAATTATCTGTTTGCATTTAATCCCAGGTTCCTTAAACTACAGTACACCACCAAAGCATTTCATCTGTCTGAAAGGGGTAGTTCAATAGGTAATCCCACTGAGCACAATTAGCTGAACTGGCAGCTGACTGCTCAGGCTTGAACTGCCACAGATCCTTTGTTGACCAGAACCTGTTTGTGAGGGTGCCAAAGCATCTCAGCTTTCCTTTTTCAATACTGTAATGCTCTGCTTCCTAGGGTGAGGTGGAATATGTGCAGGAAGGAGAGGGAGTGGAGGTTTGAGCCTGTAGAGCAGGAAGAAAGGCTGAGTTGTTCATACCAACCTTCAACAGCAGAAAAACATAAATCTGGCCACGAAGAGGGGGAAATGAGAGGTTCACATGGTTTGCTGTATTACAAAACAGATACTTTCTCATCCTGAGTTGAGTCTTATGTCCCAGCATCAGTCTGGATGAATTCTGGGTAATGCTCTAGTAATAATGTTCATTTCAACAATTCCCTTGAAAACACAAAGCTGAACCATATTCCTATAAAAGGCATAGATACTAAAGCCTTGCCTTTTGGCTTTAAAATTAGCTGCTTCCAGTTGTTTGGGGTTTGTGTTTTTTTTTTTTTTTTTAAGATGCAAATCTAAGCGCTAAAGAACTACACAAGGTGTGCAGATCTTTGCAGAATGATTGCAGAGAATGCTTGCTACAGGTTACCTGTGTTGCTTGGGCATGTTTCTCTTCCATGTTTCTGCCACAAGGGTAAGGAGGTAGCCAGAGCTCTGCTGGCAGATGTCCTCCTGCAGAAACAGATATTGTTGCTAAAATAGCCCTGGGACTGAGAAGACTTACTCTGCATGCTGTGGCTTGTGTAACTACACTTAGCCATGGGACCGTTCTGCAGAAATGGGGTGTTCCTTCATGGGTGTGTTTTTTGTCTGGTTGCTCAGCCTGTGTTGCACACAGGTTTGGCAGTCACATGTAGTTGCAGAGCTGGAGGGAACATGCAGCGTGGCTGTTGTTGGAATTTTGGTGGGTGGGCTGGAAAGGACTGCTAGTAGATCAGGAAGTGTTTCTAGAAGCTGTGGAATGAAGTAGGACTCTGCCTTTCCACAGTGCTGGAGATCTCCTGTTACTTTGACATGCCCGAGTCACCTCACCATGTGAAGCAGCTGCACAGATAATTGCAGCACTACTACCAAAATGGTGGAGCTGCAACTATTCCCTCCAGACTCATACTTGCAAAAGGGTTTATATCAGTTCCTCAGAGGAAGGACGTGCATGTCAGCAAAAGCCCTTTCTGCTGTGATACATTACATCTCTGTTAGGACTGCTGCTTCTTGTGACTGTGCTGTGTAACAGTAATTTCTGCACACTGCAAACATGATTTGCCTTGCCAGCAAATCTTTTTAGGATCAAGCTGTAAGCTCATATGGAGCTCTTTATATGTATCATAGCATGTGGGAATACACTGCATTTCCACAGTATTTCTGCAGTGTCAATGCTCCACTTTGTCAATGCTGCAGATGTAGCTCCAGTGGTGCAGAGAATCCCACCCAAACAGAATAAATCAGATCTAGTACAGACTATGTAGACCAGGGTTTATTCTCTAGTTTACCGGGTTCCAGCCTTTTCTGTCCCATAGGCAAAATACCAAGCAAGCAGGGTGGCGCAAGCAACCTCATTCCTTGATCTCTGTGTCAACATGGCCTGCAGCGATGTTTTACAAGCTACATGTTTCTTCTGAGTGGCCCATGAGCCAAGGGTTCACAGCCCAGTTGTCTCTCCAGTGCAGATAAAAGGCATGATCTTTGCTTTAATAGGCTGTTCTCTACAGGCATGTGTAAACATTATATTTAGTTATCTAACTACACTGCATGACTCAAATGCTGAGCTAACAGGGTTTTGGAAATTTTCAGTAAAGTATTGCTACATGTCTCTTGCTTGGCCCATCATCAGTGGCCAGCAGCATCCTGGCTGATGCTGAGTAGTCCAGAGGCATAAAGGACCCAAAGTCGTGGCACTGGTCTTAGACAAAAAAAAAAAAAGTTTTTCCTTTCCTGTGAGGGCCAAATTATCTTCACGCTGTCCAAAGTTTTGAAGAGCACCCTCAGGTCATATCTGTGACTCTCTTTTATAACCAGGCTGGAATTAATTTCTCACATTTAATGGAAGTCCATCTGCTCACAGACAGGGTGTGTCTCTAGCAGCTGGGCTGTGTCTGACTCATTAAATCTTTTACAAATTACAACATTGGGACTGCTGCCTTGGGTGAGCCCCAAGAGCCATCCAAGTCATTGCTAGATACTAGGGGAAGACTAGAAGAGAAAGCAAGTTCCCAGTGTCCCTCTCTGGCTGGTGGTGGCTGAGAGACTGCCTGCCACAGGAGCTGCCTTCCAGCTGTTATTACACAGAGCATGGGGAATGCAGCTCCTGATACAGCAGACATCAATGTACTCCCTTCCTGGAAGCTGCTTACTTGCCTGTTTGAATTGCTGCAGGTTTTTGTATCCCAAACCACCTGTGGCAGTGACTTCACACCAAGATCCTGCCTGTCCTAAAGCATCCCTGAAGGAACAGGGCATAACAGGTGACTGTTTTTCCAGAGAATTATTAGTAAGGAGCAGTCACAAGCTCAAAATTTTCACCTACAGCAGCCTTTGATGGGGTGGCATGGAAAGGTTCCAGATGATATTCAGGTTAGTGGCAGCACAGCTGGCTCCAAAGGAGCTGAAAAAACTCCTCCCACTCATGTGAGAGCCCTGATCATTGCTGCTATTGTAGTCTACCTTCAGATGTTAACCAGCACCTTTCAGTTAATCTAACTCAATTGATCCTCACCCCTCTGACGGTGCAGTGGTTGCAAGAACATGTCTTTGCCAAGCTTAGGCACTTGCTGGGTGTAGGACATGTGCGTTTGGACTGTGCTTTAAAATGGATCTCCAAAATGATACAACTTAGAAATTTGCCCTCCAAAAGGCCTTATTTTTCCCCAAATCATGCTGGTCATACAGTACAGCTCCATAAACAGTGTAGCTGAACAACCAAAAGGACAAAGAATGGCTACATGAGGAAGTGGGGGTGGGAACAAACAGCTGTGAGGCACAGGGACATCAACCAACTTTGCCAGTAGAAGACCATGTCCCTTATTATGCCAGTTTCAGACATCAATTGCCTTCATTTTATGCTCTTTTTTAAAACCATGACAGCTGCTTCATTGCATTAAGATGAAGTAATTGTCATCATCAATGAGTGATAGAAAACCTGTGACTCAGGGAGCTGGGGCTCTGTTATTAAATATATTTTGATACACACACCTGGTTTTAGGTACTTAGAGACTTATATCGTATTAAGTTTAGAAATTATGGTACCTCTATATTTTAGCCAGTCCCAGTATTAAATATTGCTGGGTAGGGGAAATTCTTAAGGTGGGTGGTAGTTACCTTGTCCTTTGACTCTAGACATCTGGCATTGCCAAGAGTCATGAAGCTGATCCACTAATAACACAGAAAAATCTCTGTTTATGGTTTCAGAGTCAAATCAGTAATAACAATGGCATACGGTTGCTATGGCTATTTATGCTCCATCTGGATTTCATATTGCAATTCTCTATTACAGTGGAAAAAAGATACAGAAAAATAAATAATCAATCTTTAAAAAAAAAATTTATTATTTGCCAAATTGAATGCACTGTTTGGTTTCCTTGAGGGGAGGCACAGAAAGATACAGACTATAACAAAGGGCTTATTTACCTTTTTGATGCTTATAAGATCATCTTACCAGCCTTTCTGCAAGCTACTTGCCACGTCTCCCTTCACTAGACACTTCATCAATTCTATACTTTGTGGCTGACCTACAGAACTGGTGATCTAACCATCAGGTGGATGCCTGGTGTGTGACAATAACTTCTCCAACTTCAGTGAAAGGTATGTGACCAGCACGTCTCCGTACAGCCCATGGCTTTGTGTGTTATGTATACACAAATGTACAATGATATGTATAAATGAGATCCCCAAAGGAATCTGTGGCTCCTCTGAGACAAGTTACAACAATTTAGAAGATCCAGGGGATAATCTAGGTAGCCAGATCTTGGGTCTTGCTATGGGAACTTAGTTGTCTGTGCCCATAAGTGTGTGCATGTGTAAGGGCATACGAATGAAGGGCTGCATGTACCTATATGGGCAAACAGGTATCTGCATGTCTGTGTGTCTGTGCATGCTTGCAGGCACATATTTAGATGCCAAAACAGGTTCTAGCTACATGATGTCCCTGAGTTGGAGAGCCCATGAATAACAAAGGGAGAGATGAGAATAAGATTTGATTCCTGCGTGCCCAAGTACCCCACATCCACAGTGCTTAGGAATGATAGAGATGGTGGCCAGCAGTGGTTGGGAAAGGAGCCCCCATGGTGGCTGAGTGGTGAAAGTTACAGCTGTCACCCGTCTTTGTGCCTGGATATTCCACACTGCCAGGACAGCTGTGGTAAAAGTCTACTTTGTGCTGGGCAATGAAGCCCACTGTCTGCTGGACGCTGCAGGTGCCCCCACCTTTTCCAAAGACTCCTCCATCCTCACTGGTCACGATTGCATAAGCATTCTGCCCTGCTCCATAGTGCTGACAGGGAGGAGGCACGGTTTGGATGCTGCTGGCTGCGGTGATTGGGTAGCCCTGGTGGAATTTGGGGTGCACGTCCAGGTAAGTACTTGGCTGGAAGCCACTCTGAAAGGGAAAGACAGTGAGTCAGAACACACAGCTTCTCCACTGGTGTCCACAGGCCTGACACGTACTCGGGCTCTGTCCCTTCACATTTCATGGTGTCTCTTGATCAGCAGCAATGGCGTGGGAGGGCAAGAAGAACCATATCCATCCCCACAGCTCAGGGGTGGATACACAGTCAGTCATATATATATATGAGGAAAACAGCTTTTCTCTGGAAGCATTTCAGTGGCATAGTCAGCCCATTGCTAGGCTACCTACTGAACATGCAAAGATGTGCCAAGTCTGTGCCTCTGCGCTGAACAAACCAGAAAGCAGGGTACACTGATACTTGTATGCTTAAGTTGCCTCCATGGAGGAAATATATCACAGGAGTTATCTGCACAGACAGAAGGGCCACGCTGAGCCATGTGCTATGTTCTTACTTGCATGAGGCACTGAGCCCGTTCAGTCCACAGGCTATGCTTCTGGCACCTTTTCAGCTTCATCCTCCGGTTCTGGAACCAAGTCTTCACCTGGGTGGGAAAGGGAGAGCAGAGAAAACGTCAGCAAAGGAGAGGGAAGAGCAAATGTTATCAGATTCACAAGCAGCAAAGAGTGACCAGATGGCATAGATATATGGGCAGCAGCAGATAAAGCCCTTTAAGAGCTCCCTGGGGCTGCTGCCAAGGGAAGATGTCTGTCTAGCAGCCTCAGCAGGTGGCTGGTGCATCTGCATGGTGGGGGGAGGGAGCGGCATTACGTCCACCGGACAGTTATAGCTGTGACAAATTGACTTATGTCAATCATGGAGATCAATGACCGGTACAAATTAGACCACCCAGGCCTCTACAAGCCCCCTGCGCTACAGGCAAACTTCTAAGACACTGTTTCTGCACGCCTGTGAGCGGAGAAGGGAGACACTTGTTCCTTGTACCCAGCAGTTCCCAAATTCAAAGCTCCTTGCTGGGGTGAATTGCAGAGCCGCTTCCCCCCAGGGCTGTGTCTGCGCTGTGAGAGCCGCCTTTGCAGGGATGTGGATTGAAGGAAAGAGCAGATTGTCCTACCGGTCTTGTTCCTGACAGAACCAGTTCAGCGTGTGCGTGCGTATGTGTGCACCTACAATGCATATATAACTTTTTTAGTCCCAGGGCATCCAGGGGCATCCAGGCCATCATGCCGAACTCTGAGATCCAAATTCCAGGCAGATTTTGGACTTGTAAATGCAAGCACTTATGCCCCATTGCCCAGCCCTCTCTGCTTTAGGAATGCATCATTTGAGCCAGCACCAGTTCACTACAGACAACCTACCTGCAGATCAGCAGAGACCCTGAAGTGCTGCAATGTATGAACCTAACAGTAACTACATGGAGGGGGGAGCAGGTGTCAAGCAGCCAGGCAGTGCTGAGTGTGGGGTATTATTAGATATTGGACAAGATGAGCCCTGGGAAATGTTAGCAATAGCTTTCAGCAGGTTGCAGCCCTGAGATTCAGAGAACTGATGCATGCCAGGGTTTCTGTGAAGTTCACCAGTGTGTGTAAAAAGTCTGTGAAGTGCTGTCAAGCCTAGGGTAGAGGCTCTTTGTGGCAAACAACATATTCATCACTGCCTTTGCAATTCTACTACAAGTGTTGGCAACAGTACCCTTAACAGACCTCTCACTGGGGAGGTCCCAGTGAGGTGCCACTGACTCTCCTGTCCCCTAGAAGTGCTTCTGATCTCTGGGCATGAAAAGGCAGGGGAGCAACTGTTACCTGGCACCTTTGCCTCTACTCTCTGCTGAGGACTCAACTTTCCATCCTGTCACTGCCTTATGTGACCATTCAGTGCTGTGTGACAGATACACCATGGGTCAAAGTCTCCATGTTCACCTGCTTGTAGGTGAGCCCCAGGGTAGCAGCCAGCTCCCGGATCTGCTGGGGGCTGAGGTACTTCTGGCTCTGGAACCGCTGGTGCAGGGTTTGCAGCTGCTCCTTGGAGAAAGCCGTGCGGCTCTTGGCCTTCCTCATCCCCTCCATACCATCTTCTCTGCTGTTCTGAGACTTAGTCGCAGGCTGTGGGGATGAGGATGCTGAATGTGGACTCGTGGCTGAATCTGGTGTGAATTGGCTGAAATTCCCAGAACTGGATGAAGCTGGGGATACTTCTAGAAATAAAAGGTCAATGGGAAAATGTATACAAGACAATGCACAGCTGTATGGGTATGAGCATGGTCCCTGCCTGCTGTAGAGCTCCCTGCCTACCAGACTGGGGCTTTTCTGAAGCAAAGACTTGTGTCACCCTCCTTCCTTCATGGATCTGTGAGCACAGACAAGCCCACTGACAGTGAGCAGCTTCCCAGCTCAGTCCTCTGGGATGCACATGGCTCCCTTTTGCCAGGTGGAAAAGTCAGGGAAGGGAGGGGAGAATGGTTCACATTGGCTCACAGCGTTATTATCCTCCTCCAAAAGACCCCGATAATATTTCAGTCTCAGTGTGGTGTAAAGACTCCTGGTCATGACTGCAAGCATAGCTTTGGGTTGGTGACTGGGATCCCTGAAACTGCCTGCCCAGCAATCTCAAGAGACTTGATAGACAGTGGCAAAGCAACCTCTGACCAGGGTGTAAGGTGGGGCAGAGCACCAACTGCTTGCAATGATGGGGCAGCAGGTGGAGAGCATCAGTCAGGCCTTGGATATTGGCTCACTCCTGTTTGCCTGTGGCTCCCACCACAGACCATCCCACTGCTGGAAAAACATGTATAGATGAAGGGACCTATTTGGCTGAGGGGGGCTTCTGGTGAGAGAAGAATGAAGGAGAGAAATTTGACATGGAAGTGGGGAGGGAGAGAGGAAAGGTGGATGTGTGGGACCTGGGGGAGAAAAGCCAGTAATCCTGTACCAGGGACCTGGGGGACAAAATTCAAGAGTGCAGAGGAAGGTGTCTCATTTGTCCTGGTACATGTCTTAAGGGGTCTCTGTTGAGGACAAAGCTGAGATAAAGATCTAAAGGAAAAACTTCCTAAACAATCTGGGCTACTAGTCCAGACAAAAGCTGCCAAGTTGCAAAGTCATTCAGGCTGCCTGAATAGGAAAATGCTAACAAGAGAGATTACCCCAGCACCTTTCTATCAGGTGCCTGGTTGCTGGGGTCTGTGAGAGGCTGAGACCTTCTCAGGCCAGCGGCAACCGAAGCACTGCAATGCCAGTCTCCCCCCTTCCCATAACTGCTATGATAAATCTGTCCATCCATCCTTCCTCCAGCTACTCCTCTGCAAACCCTTCTTCATGGTCCATCCCCTCTCCTCCTACTGACATTTCAGGAGAGGAGGGTGCAGTGACTGGGGCAGTGCCATTTTCAGTACACACCTTCTGAAGACTGAGCCCAACCAACAGTTCCCAGTCTCCTTCCTGGTCACCCTTAGAGCTGTGATTCTGAAGCCAGCTGAGACACCCTCCTCAACCTCCCAAATGTATGTCCTGTGCAAAGTGCTGATACCCTCCTGAGGAATGGGGTCCCCCGTCCACGCTACCAAATCCTTCCTTCTTCTGTCCTAAGGTGAGAGGCTACTAAGCAATCACTCAAAAGCCTTGAGGTGTTGCTGGGCCTCAGAAAGGTGGCCATGTCTGCGGTATCTTTTCCTTTGTTACCCTCTTGACAGAGGCACACACCTGTCTTTGTGGTGCCTGCCACCCCAGGGTGGCCTGCTCTTACAGGCCTGCTCTTGGCTATTTCCTATCCCTAGGAGATGATAACCACCCAGAGCACGGGCTGTGCAAAGAGGCAGGTGTGTAGTGGGGCAGGTTTCTGGTGCTGGGGAGCAAGGCCGTGAGGATTACAAAGAGATTCTGCCTACAAGGAGAAAGGGGCTGTCAACAGAAGAGGTGCAAGGGCTGAGGTGTTATGTGCATGGGGGTAGACTGCAGAGCCTGAGAGGAAGCTGAATGTCTGTGACCTGGATGCATGGGAAGCTAAAATTTTGTGTGGGACCACAGGACACTTGGATCCTGCAGGCTGTGCAGTAGAAACCTTATAGGTAAGAAATGAGCATGCTGAGGACACGGGTTTGGAAAACAGGGAAGTATTCTATTTGACAGGAACTACAGCAAGACACCATAGAGCTAAAGCTCCCACACCTTCCTGCTCAACCTGTCATCCCAAACCCCCATGTAGTTTACCACCTGCAGCTCGAGCTCAAGACAAAGCCGCTCCCTTTCCCATGAGAAGAGAGTGAAGGGAAGAGGAAGCAAGAAACACAAACAGCAGTGGAACAGGCATAAACATGAAAACCTTAGACTGACCCACTCCCACAAGCCCTTGACATCTGTAGGCCTTTGCTTCCACGACTGGGCTCTCCCTGTAGAGACAGGCACCAGAGGAGAGTGTTTGAAGATGGGTTTTAAGTCTATAAACCAGGCCCACTGAGGGCACGAATGAGTCAATCTGCCTGCTGCCTTTGTGGAGCAGGCAGCACACAGGGAACCTAAGCCTGTCTCCAAACTACATGGCAAGTAGCCACGTGCCAAGTAGCCACCAGTCACTCTGCCCGAACCTGTAGCTCTCTATAGCATCTGACAGCCTGAAACCGGCACTCCAAAAGCTCACTCTCCTCCCACCCATTAACCTTACAAGAGTGTTACCCTGCTGACCATAAAATGGGGCTGGTGGAAAACCTGCTTTCATCAGCTATTCTATTGCCACTCACTGGAGTGGGAGAGGAATGGCAGGAACAGAAAAATGCCACTGTGGTGGGGCCTGGAACTTTTTTGCAAAGAGGGAAAGGCAACAAGAGCACAGAAAGGAGAGGGGAAATAGAGAGATGAAAATGGCAAACTAAAAGAAGCAGAGAGTAACAATGATGCATTTAAAGGGAGCGGATTTCCTGGCACAGAGATTCAGAGCATGCCTTGGCTCAAGTTTAATGAGCACATGAAGGGCATGAGGAGTTTGTAAGGGGATAAAGAACGCCACAAGCAGAATTACCTTCAGGATTTGTTTCTCTCCATAGCACACATGACAGCATTTGACCAAAAAGAGGCCCAGACATTCCTGCCCCAAGAACCATGAACTTCCATGAGACCATGTTGTCACACTGCCCTTCAGCCTGGAGCACAGACCTGACAGTGTCTGGACTCTCGCAGGCTCTGTTGAGGTTTAGGAAATGAGTTCACAGTCACCAAAGAAAAGTAGCATGGAAAGGTGGTGCGACTGCCCAAGGTCACCCATCCTCCTTGCCTACCATATCGCACTTTGCCCAGCTCACACATTCGGAAACCAGGGCAGGGAGAGAGAAAAATTTGCTCAAGGTCGTTGGTGTGGCTGACCTGGGACCACAGGTGTCCTGGGGATCAGCTCTAGGACTTAGCTGAAACACCTTACCTGCCATCTGCCTCTTCCTTCCCACCTCCGGCGACTGACTGGCGCTGGTGGCTCCCGCTGGCCCAGCCGAAGCGGGGGCATGTCCTGCCTCCCCCGCTGAGTTCCAGTAAAACTCCAGGTACCCCATACCAGTCCCGCTGGGGTAAGCCTGGTGGTAGGGGGGCAAGGCCAAGTGTGCACACATGGGGGGCAGATGAAGGGGTGGTTCCCCCACCTTCCAATAGATGCCACCTCCACTTTGGGGGGCAGGTCTCACCAGCAAGCTGAGGTAGCCCCGAAGTGTAGACAGGTAGTTACCTTTATAGCTGGCTATACCCTGCCTGGGACCGCAATATGCACCATCGTCGGCTCCTTGAGGCCCTTTGTCATGTTAAAGAGGCTGATTGGTGGGGTGGGGACAGAGCAAGGTGGAGGGGGAGAGAGAAAGCCACACATGGCATCAGGGCTAAAATATGTCCCCTCTGAATTCTTCCCATTCTGCAGGTTCCTCAGTCACACCTGAGCAGGGGTCTGATCCAGAGCCCCAGGAGACCTCCTTCTGCTTCTTTCTTTGGGCTCAACTCAAATCATCCTGTCACAAAATAATCCCATGAGTGTAGATGTCCTGTAAAAGAGAGCTGTTTGCTGCATTGGGAGAACAAACCCCAACATGTGAGAGTGGACAGGAGTTAGATCTGGTGCTGAGCTGCACAGCACCATGCTGAGCAAACCCAAACCCTGGCTCCAGGTTATGGGGAGGGTTCTGTGACCTTTGCTTCGTGGCTTGTGTCACATTGACACCCCTACAAGACCCACACACACAGGTACACACCCTCCTGACCTGGCAGCACTTCACACTCTTGGTGCAGATGTCAGAGATGGAGCAAGGGGGATCTGGGGGCTAGAAACTACTTTTTTTTTTTTTTTAAACTGAGAAGGAATTTCCTTCACACAGGCATTTGAGAGAGCCAGCTGAAAATGTGTCTGGCCCATCTTCCACACATCTGTGCCAGACCAAGCTCAGAAACACTGGACAAGTCACATGCAACACCAGATCTCATTTTGCAGAGCAGACTCAGAAATCTCAGCTGACTGTTCTACAGAGGGACAATCAGCAGAGACTTTTTCGCCATGGAGGTAGGAAAAGATTTAGTGCAGATGAGGTCCACAGCTAACAGATTTGCTCTTCCTTGGCCTTTCAAAGACACATTTCATTTCCATAATCTTGGCTGTGGCCTTTGCCAGGCTGTCCCAGGCTGTCTGGAATAAAGAAGATTAAGTGTTTCCTTTAAGGTAGGGTTAGCTGATGTTTGCTGACATATGGGTCACCTGAGGGGGACAGGCACCTGCAGAGCTGTTCATTAAATAACTAGAGGTAAATGAGTGAGCCACAGAATTTAGCTGTGGGCCTGCAGGTTTGTCTGCTCTATGGACTTGCTCCAGTTCCTTCCCCTCAGGAGATTTTGCTCCGCCTGTGTTTAGGAAGATTTTAGTAGTTTCATCCTGAGAGACATTGCAAGTCTCTAGCTAATGTCTGTATCTCTCAATGCACAGCCAGAAGCCCCAGAGTTAATTCAAATATTTCTTGCTAGAACCAGCCCTGCCTTGGCACCAGGACATGTGCACGTCTCATGTCAGAAGCACAGAGCTGAGGGTGGAGATCCACAGAAGTGTAAAGTTATTTAATCTGGACTGTCCCTGCACCCCTCTGTGCCTCATTGCTCCACAAGCACTTGTCACTGCCTTCTTCCCAGGCCTGTGCTAGCACCCAGTACCTGCCCAGCAGGCCAGAGAAGGGAACCTGCTTGCTGTGAGCGTGTTCAAATATCATCAGGGAGAAGAAAGAGACAGGTGGGGGTGAGAAAGACCATAGGAAGTAGGATTTAGATCAGTTCAAAAGGATATAGAGCACCACTTCTACCAGCACTTCTGCTGCTGCTCTGCATCTGATAGCAGGTTACTGGTCCTGGCTTCGCTGGTTGTAGAGCAGAGGCAACTTAGGAGCGTTCTGAGAATCCTGCATGGGAAGCCAAAAGGAACTTCAGGACTGGCCTGTGAGTGAACCTGAAAATCAGTGCAGCTGGTCTGGAGCCATCATGGGCAGGCTATTCAACTCACTTGCCACATCACAGCATGATTCTGCTGCCTTGGGATCAACTACTTTCCCATGAGGTGCAGACTGGAGGGAACTAAGGGCCTGGCTAGAGTCTCTTTAACTTGACATTCAGTATTATGTCTTCTGTTTGCATGAAACACTTCTCTGTGCCTACAAACTACAGGGACTGATATCTCTGTGCACAAGAAATGCAGTTTTAGATACAAAATTCACTTGAAAAAATTAAAGCAAAAAAGGGCTTTTGAGCACATCTGCCCTGACAGAATCCCAAGAACATCCTGAATATGGCAATTACTCTGAAATAGCCTCTACATTGTGGTTTTGGCTCGTGCCTCACTTCTGAATCATTCCACGTTTCAGAGCTGCAGTGCCACAAGAGCTCAGATTAGAGTCCCTCATACCTGCTCTCAGTCCCTAGCTAATAAAGCAGAGGGAGAGGCACCAATGACACGAGCTGTACAGAGCTTGGGACCCCACTGGGCAGCTCCAGTGACACCAGTCAAAGAGAATGACATGTGCTCCTTCCTATTCATGTCTGGCCTGTTACCGTATGTTGGTGCTCAAGTTTTCATAGCCTTAGGTGCAGTTAGAAAATGAAGACAAGGTAGTAGACCTAGAGGATATCAACATATCTTCTAAGACTGTTTAATCTGAAGACCTGGCAGAAAACATGACAAAGATCTGGGGTGCTGGCATTAAGTGGAAGCAGGTATCGGTGGCTTCACCGTACTTCTTGGAAGTCTCACTGGCTGAGCACTTTGCACTTGATGTCCTTGATTTCAGCTACTTCTGAAGGTGTCTGGGATCTTTCTTGCAAAGTGCCCGGAGGCCACAATAAACTAGCATAGTCACCTGCACTACAAAGCCCCGCTGGGCAGAAGCCGGGGAGGTGGGTGCTGCTACCGCTGGGAGCAGAGCCACCCGCTCAACTGGAGCAGGGAGCGGGGCAGCACGGAGGGAGTCACCTCCCGGGGGTGGGAGGGGGACTGAGAGGTAGAGGAGCTGAAGGAACCTCAGCGCCTCACCCCTCTCTCCCGGGTTTCAAAGCAGCACCACCCCTCACAGGGCAGCTTATCGCCCCTGCACAACACGTGACACAGCCTATGGTACAGGGAGCAGCTCCCTAAAATCAGCACTGCAGGCAGCTGACAGATGTGGCTTGGCATCAAACTGAGCCAGACCCTGGTTGGTTTGGTACTGCATTATTCCAGTCTGGGCCCAGCTACTCACTATTATCCCACAATAATCTCCGTGAGAGCCTTCCCAGGCCTATGCTCTTAGCTCAGAGGGCTTTTTAGTATCTTAACCTTTATCTGCTCTTCTGTACCATGAAGCTGAAAGCACACTCCAATAAAAAAGAGGGCAAATTCTTCACAGGCATGCTAGTGACATGATCTTCCATCAACAGCTAAGTCCTTTGCTTTCTCTGAGATGGCACTGAACTGTGCAACAGTCACAACAAATTAAACAGTAGCTTGTAAATGACCAGGTTTCCTCCATAAAGGCAGTGAGGTAGAAAGACTAGTAGTTAGAGAGACCAGGAGGAAAGAGGAAAAGTTGGAAAGAGGAAAAGTCCTAATTCTTTGTCCCCATGCCCTCCATGATGTGGCTGTAGCTCACGCTGACTTGCCCAAGATAGCCACAAACTAGTGAATGCAGGTGCTGCTGACAGGGTAACTCCAGTGACATAGAAGGCAGGAGAGGCTGCAAAAACAACCTTGAAAACTAGTCTGGGATTATGGACATCATTCAGAAAATGCACAAGCAGAGCAGAAGATGGTGAACATGCTCACAGAAATGGTTTCTGTAACTAGCTCCTTTCACTGGCACAGCCCATATGTCAGGTTGTGACAACCTGATTTTCTTATAACAGTCCCTGCCTAGCCATGTTTTGTCACTGCCCCGATGTCTTCTACACCTTTTGTAGGTGACCTCAGCAAAATCCTCCTTCCAGGCAACAGCTTTTGATTTGTTTGGGGTTTTTTTTTCTTCTGCTTTTCACCGGCTTTTTAGGTAATAAATTACCTTTCAGACCTCTTCATTTGTCAGTTGCTGCTCTTTTCTCCTAAAAGAGGAATCAGATAGGGTCAAATGGGAAAACTCAGATCTGGATAAAGATGGTGTACAGACCTGACTCTGAGACGTCTGTGTTCTGGCAAAGTGTCCCATGACAGCTAACACACAAACAAGGCTTGACGTGTACAGCGTGGATGTAACAGAGAAAGAACTGAAAGTTAAAGCTGACAGCATCCTGACTAGGCTCAGATGTTCAGCCACAGCTTGAGCCCTTGTGGCTCACCTCTTGCTGGTGTAGCTCTGCCCAAAAGCCTCTTCAGTGAAGATACAGCTGATGCCACCAACAAGAGTATTGCTACAGCTGCATTTGGGTTTAGCTGGCAGACCTGTGGCAGTTTGGGCTGCAACACTTTAGAAGTCCTTATTGCTACCCCTATACCAGGAAAATGCCAAGTTTCTTGGAGACTTGGCCTCACCAGACCCCACTCGGGGGGCATGTGGGGAGTACCTCTCCCCAGAGGGACCTGTACTGCAAGGCTCACGTAGTGCTAGCAGCAGACGAGCACCTGGCAACCCTCCGGAGGCTTTCTGGGCCATACAGTCACTTTCTGTGTCTAGTAATATTGGCAAACAAGCATTTTTTTCTGTCCAAGTTGGCTTTTAAAAACAGTATGCTTTTCAGTCCTTGAACTTGTTGAATGTGGTTTTGGTTAAGTGTTCAAAGATAGTTAAGGAAGTTGTTTTGAGAAAAAGGCTTTGCCAGCCTTGTTTTATAGTATTTCTTCTTTCTTTGAAGCCTTAAACAAATGTCCTGATTTGTTTGAAGATTTGCAGGGTGTTTGTGATAGACATTGAGAGTAATGGCTTAATCTAAAGACACTTTTAAAAGCAAAAAAGTGGAAAAGTAATACAGTTTGAATTACAGGAAACAGAGTAAATAAAACATTCCCACATTACAACATTTCCATTCTGCCCCCCTTTTAACCACTTAGTTCAGCGTGTTAATTCTTTAATGGTAACTTGAACTTGAATTTACTTCTCTTAAAGCACCATATTTTTCTCCAAAGAGTTTTCTTTTTTGGTGATTGATCATTTTCTACATTTTTTTCTTTGCTTTGTGTGAGACTGTGCTGTAATCTAGTCAGATCCATGTGTT